GGGGCCGGGAGCGCACTGGCTGCCAGCCTACTTCTGGGGACCACCAAATAATCGTGTAACCAATACAATTTCCTGTGGTTACATGACTATTTAGTTACACTATATCTACCATCCCTAGATTGCACTTATCTTCCCAGAACATTGACATCAGTGAAAAGCTCCACGGAGCTTCTTCCTTAGACTCCCGCATCAACGTGTCCTTTATAGTCATAAATAGGAACTAAGCACAATAGCAGAAGTAACAATTAACGCACTAAAAGCCTGTTCTGATTATCAGCAATTCCACTGACCACTGCAGAGACAGTGTTCATGGGAAGAGTGATCAGGGCAGAGGCAATACACTGAAACGCATCTCGAAGCAGGCTCACATCTGGATGTTCACTTGTGCTAAGAGCTCTCTTTTTTGGAAAGGAAATCAGGCATAAACCTGCTAGTATGTCTGTATATTTTTGCAAACGAATTATTTCTCTCACTTCAGTATAAGACTACATTGCTTCCTCAGTCCCTGCTGCATTCTCTTTATCTTAAATATTTATCACATTCTTAATATGTAGGTAAGAAAATGAATTGTACTGTTAATTTTGTTTTTGAATTAGTAACTAAATTTGGGCCCGTGAAGAGGTCATAAAATAAAAAAAAACATGTTATACTGGACTGTACAGCTGAGTCCTTTGCGTCACCTTGCTATCAGGTGTCATTCTGCACAATGACTGCAAGTGCATATGCACTGAGTCTTTACTAACGAATGCAGGAATCATGTTCTCACTACAAAAGCGACATTACGATAATATAACAAACTGTGCAAGTGTGTTTTCCAGGTATGTGGCTTTAAAACAATAAAAACGCCTACAGTTGCCTCCTGAGCACAAAAATGGAAATAACTCAATTTGTCCTCTTTTCATTTTAATAGTTATGATAGAAATGTAATGTGTATATACGTGAGGCAACACAATAAAATTAATGGGGACGAAAAAACAGAGAGGCACAGTGCAATAGTCCATTCATTCCATTATGTGGTTCATACTTTTGGGGCACAACGTGCAGGATGCAGCTCAAATTCACACTCATCCTCTTCCCAACACATTCCTAATCCACCCTATTCAAGTCTGCTTGCAGTGGAGTCTAAAATTAATAGCATAGAAGTGATTTTCTTCAGTCTTTTGCTTCGCCTCGCGATCTTGCTTTTGTGTAAAAGAAGAAATATTTGTATAGCATTTCTCATCTTTCTAACAGTTTCCAATTAATCATCAGCCAGTCGGGTTTTCCAGGAGAGGCCAAGGGACAGGGCTGGGAACATTCCCTCCTCACCTTCTCTCTCGGTTTTGAGATTATCACAGGCTACACTACTTGGAAGCATGCACAAAAAGTCCCTCAAACCTAGCAGATGTAGTCCCATGGAGCAACTAATCTGAATGCTACCTACCACCTGCCCCTCTCCAAGCTTTCAAAGTTTGATCCATTCCAGAATAGTAAACTGGTAAGTTTATAAAACGAGTGGTCCTGAAGCTTCTTAGAGGCTAACAAAATATTATAGATATAGTCTCTAAGGTGCTACAGCAGCCTAGCCAACCCATGGCTCGCGAGCCGCATGGAGCTCTCCGCCCCGCCCCTCCCATGGGGGATACAGCTCATGAAGCCGCCGCCACAGCTCATAAAGCAGCCCCTGTGCCCCTGAAAACGGCTCCCGCCTCCCTGTGCTCACTGGGGCTGGGGAGCCATCTGGTGCAGCCATTAAAAATGGTGTCTCCAAGATGGCATCAGTCAGCAGGAGCCTGATGTGGCCAAAAAGCCTCTAAACAAGTTTCTTAAAGGGGGCAGGTTTTTTTTTGTTTTTTGCTCAACAACTGTCCCCCAGCTCTTTGCGGTATATTTACAACTATTTTGGCTCTTTGCCTGTAACAGGTTGGCCACCTCTGTGCTACAGGAACACTTGTTTTTTAAGTGACAGATTAATACGGATACTTGTCTGAGACTGATAAGTTTATAGTGCAGATTTTAAATGTTATCAACTAGAGCCCGGATCAATCTTCACATGGGACCAGTCCACCTCAGATTGGCTACAAATTCCCCCTTGGAATTTCTACTGCATCATTCCAGAACGGGACAGAGTGACTTAAAGCAGTTGATCTACCAAGATTTTGTAAGGATTAGGGCCAACCATGCTGAGACTGTGCATTCAGTTTCTCAGCTTTCACATTTCCATGTTTAGCTGAAGCTAATAACACAAAGCTGGATACGACGTGTCAGCCCTACTCAAGGCTTCCTCACAATTTTGGGGCGTAGAAAGCAGTAATACTGTTGGGTTTATTATTTACGCAGGCTTTTACCATGACACTATTTAACCATAAGTTCCATTATTAAATCAAAAGGCCTTGACTAAGACACAACTGATAGGCTATTTACTACACCCATAACAAAACACTGATAAGTACTGGATCAAAATACTTACAAATGGGATAAGCACAGGGATGCTTAGACCTAGATGGGCCTGCCCCAACTAGGTCAGGCAGGCAGGCA